GAAGAAAAGTTTGGGGGCGACTTAGGGCCGCGGGAGCGCCGGAGGAGAAGGAGGATGCGCGGTTTCCCCGGCTGAGCGGGAAGGAAGGATGACCGAGGGAGGATGTGCACCAGCAGCCAGATCATCGGGAGCCTCCTGGTGCTCTCCGTGCTGGAGATAGGGTTAGGGGTGTCCAGCGTGGCCGTGGGGGCGGTCAGTTTCAGCCTGGTCCTCACAGAGCATAAACCTCAGCTGGGAGACTCTTCTCCGGTATGGAGCGGGGTGTGTGTACGTTAGCCATTTCACTCTCTCTTTAACTCTTTATGGTGATGATCAGACCGTGCGAAGGCATCCCCTTCCCTTCCTTTCCCTTCCCTTCCCTTTCCTTCCCTTCCCTTCCCTTCCCTCCCTTCCGCGTGTGCATGCTGCGCCGAGAGCCTCACCGGGTCCATTTCTGATGTGCATGGGGTACGGTCAGCATACTCGTGGGGCAAGGGGGGAGGCACGGAGGGGAGAGATGTATGTGTGTGTTGTGGGGGAGACCCCTTCTTTCTTGGTCCTTTTCATTTTTCAATTTTGCTGTGAACAATTGAACTTTCTGCGAACCCATTCTCACACCTGGGAAAGCCCAATGCCTCGAGTGGCACACGGGCCATAGCTTACAATCTTTAAATTGACTGTGAGTTTTGCTTTTAAAAAAGAACAGCCCTGTCCCTTATGGCAAGACTGTCAAAAGGTGTTTTAAAATAATGTCAAGGGTACAACAGCGGAGTTCTGAGCTTTTGGAGGAAAAAGAGAAAGAGGAAATAGGAAGGAAAAGGAAAAATATGTTCTCATGATTGGGGCACCCCAAGCTTCTTGTAAAATGAACAAAAAAATCAAACACCAATAATGGGTTAATAGAAGCAGCATGTTCATATCACAGAGCATTTCTCACTTCTCAGAAACCTTTCTTATTTTTTCAGTTTGAGATATGCATGTTTCTAGGAAGGATTTTCCTCCAAATGGTTATTTATATTTATGAAACAAAGAGTAGGAAATATTGAGTATTCAGCCTAAACATGAGTGGGCATTTTTGAACTCCAAAGCTGGTTTTCGCCAGCTTGGATTGTACAGCAGTATTTCTAAAAGGATTGTTTGCTTTGCTTGAGATAAGATGATAAATGCAAAACACTCTTGGTTATTCATCAGCGTAACCTCCTGTAATTTATAGATTCATTCTGACAAAGTGCTTTGTGTAATATTCCCACTGTCAATAATTTTTAATTATCGACAACAGTCATAAATATTTTTGGCAGTATATAAACACACACGTAATTCTGCACTGCAGAACAGGTAGGTGAGAAATGAGAATGAAGACCAGATAAGATAAGGCAGTGGCCAACAGGTAATGATATAATCAAAATCACTTCAAAGAGGGAGGTTTCTGATCATTGCTGATGAAGAAAAAAGATTACTCAAAAACATGTGTCTATCTGAAGATTTAATGACAGAGGGCAATATCCTGGGTTTCACTGAAACCAAAGAGTTTTGGCCAGTCAGTGAGATCAGTATTTTATGCAGTGATTGCATTTTGTGACAGTGCTATCACAGCTGATACCATTTCATGACAATGCACATTTCCTGCACAACTGCCTCATTCATTTTGACAGTTTCTGTTACCCCAGAGTTTGTACTAGCCATAGATTAAGATCTTCTTGATGGCTTGAAGGACCTACAATCAAAGCAAGAGACAGATGTAGGATAAAAGGATGTAAGGGAGTATAAAGAAACAACAGACCAAAATTGATTGGTATAACAGGTGGTTGCATTAACACAGCAGCAGTCTGGCTGATTTCAAGCTGTTCATAGGTAGAGTTTTAGAGAGGAATAAGACAGAGGACAATGAAGTGATTTTGCAGATGTTTATAGGAAATTCTTCCCATACGTGGGTGCAGAGGCATCGAAAGGAACCCCAAGGGACTTGTTTGAAAATGTAACAAGTGGGTGAAGGATGCCCACAACCAAAGCCAGCAGAGACAGGCATCAGCTGCTAGGAACTGAGCAAACAACTGCAGGTTGGGTAGGCAGAGAGAGGCCACAAAGAAACTGTAAAGTGGAAGCAAACAGCTTATGCTTCATGTAGTAGAGGAAAGGAGAAATCACAGAGATATGCAGGGTGGGGTGACACGGTTTTAAAGGCTTACTTACTTTGCCTTGAACTAAAGATCTTTGGTCTAAATTGTCACCTTTATGGCACCGTCTCTGTACCACTCCAGCCGTTCAAATGTCTCATAGGTTGTGTTCTTCTGACTAGAGGACTAGCAGGTGCGACAGGACAAGAAAGCGGCCAGAGATCTACTGTCCTCCAAGGATGCTTAGGGCCATGGGTAACTAGGTCCAAATTAAAACAACTGCAGAAAGGTTTGTTTGCACAATCCTCAGAATTGTCCTGCTGCAGAAATGGCATAAGATGCCTTTCTGCTCACTGGATCTTATGCTGAGCTCATGTTGCCTGTATTAAAGAATATGTCTTGCATAAAATTTGTTATTCTTTTTTTCCGATTCACACTCTTGAATCAAGGTTTCCCTTTGAGAAATGAACATGAAGGACAAGAAAGGGACATTAAAGGAAAAACTAATACTTTGACACATTAGGATGCAAAACACTGGAGTTAAGTTGAACAGTGTCATGTCCCCTGCTGTAAATTACCTGGAAATATACTGAAAGCTTTTGACCCTGTTCTATCCTTTTATGTGGGTGGAACTCAGCAGAGGCTCAAGTTCATAAGGAAGTAGATGAAGATAGCATCACCATGGAAACCCTAACCTGAATTCCTAAAATTTGGGCATCTTAAAATCATGCACATTCATCTCCTATACTCGCCTCCCTATGATGCTTTGCATTTGATGCACATTAGCTTTCTTCTTAAAAGAGTTGTTCTTACTGTTCACTGTCTCCATTCAGCCAGATAATTTACTAACATACCTAACTTTAAGCATGTGAATCCCACCCGTAGGATTAGAGGTACAAGTGAAGTTAAGCATGGGCTGAGGTGCTCTGATCGTTGCATGCCCTGCATTATGTATAAGCAAGCCAGGGAAAGTGGAGTAGACAAGAATGAAGAAATGGAAAGCCTAGATAATGTCCGCATCAAAAATGCATGGAAATGAGAAAACAGTTTCTAAATTTGTTCTCATTGGAGTTGAGCTGGATTAAGATAGTGAGAGTTTAAAAAGTAGCCAAAAGAAAACAACTGAAGGTGTGACTGACTTCTCAAATTATCTGGAGCATGTTCAGATGACTATCCAATTTATTTTACATCATATCCATGGCTGCTAAATTAAAAAAAAAAAAAAAAAAAAAAAAAAAGAAGGCAGTCAGGAATCTAAGGTGAACGTGTTGTTGATTTCTGGATTTTCTTTCTGTTTGTTGTGACTGTATTGGTATAATCTACTCCACAGGCTGTACTCAGTGTCACTCAGATTTCTTTTTTCCAGAAACTGAGATATATTTCTGAAATCCACCATTCCAGTTCAGTTATATGACGTACTATAGAAATGATCCAATCAATGAGCATGCTGAACCACTAGCACTAACATAGCAAGAATGATAACATCCATAGCAAAAGCTTTTGCACAAACAAAAAAAAAAAATCAGAAGATAATAATTCAAAAACTACTCACAGATATTTTTTAAATGGTCACCTACTTTCCCATCTATATTTAGAACATAATGGTTGCTGCACTATGAGTAGTGACTATATATTCTCACACACACACACACGTATATGGCTCTAATTCTCATTTATTCTGTAGTGATGAATAAATTCTTGCTATAAATGAGATCCTCTCAGAGAGACAGAGAATGAGAGACAAAAGCCACATCTTTAGTCAAATATGCCATCTATCTTCATATGCAAGAGAGATACCTGATGATTCACTTACAGCTATGCCCCTCAAGATTAATAGTTTTTTCCCTTACAAAGACAAATATCTAAATGTATTTGAGAGAGATACATTCTCTGGATGTTGGTTGGTGTGTCTGTCTGTCTGTAGGGGCAGAATTATTTCCATGATTTGTGATTTTAGCACAGTGGTAGTCTTCCTGCGCATTAAAAATCTGCATTTATAGTTTGGCTACAGAAATTTGCTCCAAGATAGCACTTGAAATATTTCATTTCAGTGACTTTTTTTTATCCACGATTTGAAGGAAAAGAAAAAGGGACAGTCAGTGTGGAACTCTCCCAGAGCAAGAACATCATTTTAGACTGTTAAATCAATGTTGGTGGCCTAAAATTTTAAAACATTAGATTTTACATCTAGTTTTTACTGCTGCCAAGTTTCCTTTGGAAAGAACAGTCAAACGATTTTTTTTTTTTTTTCAAAAGAACACTAAAAAATTCACATTATTGTTTAGCATGCAGACAAAATGCAGATGTGATTCTACTTTATTTTAACATGTGCATTGCATTTTCATCAAACTGACCATATTTCTGGCTGGCTCCTGCTCCTGATGAAATGGATCACAGCACTGTCAGTGAGCTCAGTGGAAGGTGGAGGGAGTTCTGTACCTATAGATGAGGGAAGATGTACGAAATGTGGGACCTTCTTGCCTTGCATGGAACCAGGAGTATTCACACCAGCTGAGAAGTCTTTCAGTAGGTTTTCTTTATCATTCAGACCCTCCAGAAGTATGTTCTGTACCTATGGATGAGGGAGGATGTACCAAGCGTGGGAGCTTCTTGCCTTGCATGGAAACAGAACAATTCACTCTAGCTGAGAAGTCTTTCAGTAGGTTTTTTTTATCATTCAGAGGGTCCAGAAAGCTTAAACCAATCTGGAAGACGGTCTGTCCAAGGGGACTTGTAGATGCTGGGTTGTATTTTAAAGGATCTGTTGAATATAGACTGACTTAAACATATGCTTAAATGTTTTGCTAAGACTTTAGTTCACCTGCAGGGAATAATCTTTAATTTATTACTTCAGAGACCCACTTCTAAATTTCCTTGCGTGTTTCTAAAAACTATTACCTATTTTTAAAGCATCTCTGCAGGCCTAGAATCCAATGAATGAAAACACTAATCACAGGGACTGGGATAGAATTTAAACTGCTTGAATATGGCTTGAATCAGTGGGAACTGTAGCAGCACCTGAGCTGAAATGACCGAACAGCACACTGCCAGATCAAGGTATTAGCTCAGATTAGACACATTTTAACACTATGTCTCACTTCAAATAGCAAAGCCCCTCCGTTCAGCATGACAGAGTCAGTGGGACACAGGGTTAGGTTGTGGCAGTGC